GGGTATGTATTTTTTCAGGCACGTAGTTCAATTCTATACCACAATTAAGAAACTAAAAACCTTCACAACAATGCTTTGGGGGAGAGGTGCTCTGTGGAGCGGGAGCTCAGCTACTGACTGAGCTCCAGGGAGGAGCTTTGTACAAGTAGGCGGAGCTTTATACGAGCAAGCATTTACGCAGCTCCACGTGGCTACCACAGGATATTCRAGGGTTTCTCAAACATACAAAAATGAGTCAAAGCAACAGTCTGGGTATGTTTTTGATGAGGGAATGACATAACATGATAAAAAGCTAAAGAAAAAAAGTTGATTTGGCAAAATATCCCCTCTTTAACGATGTCTCCAGGACTGATTTCTTTGGCCTGTGCAACGTTATACTGAAATTAGAAACATCTTGTCCCCAAAAACTACAGAAAAACGGGTCTGTACATTGATAGATTCTAGGCTGCAGTTCTTTATCATCAAGAGGTTCAAAAACTATTAAAAATAAATACCAGAAAATACTAGAAAATTCCAAAAAATAGTCTAAAATCTTACTTTTAAAAACACAGAACCCCAGTAGAGCTATATCTTCTCAGTACGACTAACTTTCAAACTGCAGGTTTACTTGTGGTTCCTAGAGTTTCTAAAAGTAAGGAAGGCATAGCTTTCAATAATAAGGTCTCTCTCTTGTGGAACCAACTTCCAGTTTCTGTCTGTAAGGTTGATATGAAAGATGCTTTTAAGACTTTCATTTTTAATAAGTCCTATGTTAAAATCAGCATGGGTTTCCTAAGCTTATTTCTGCTGCTATAGYCAAGACTGCTGTCATTGTTTTACTCAATGTTTGTACATTACATTCCTGGTTTGTATTGTTATCCCAAACTGGAACTAAATGAACTAAAATAAAAWTTAAAAAAGGCTGAAAAAGCTACAAGAATCTTACTTTAGGACCCATCATGGTGTAAGTTTTCCCCGAGCCTGTTTGTCCGTATGCAAACACACAAGAGTTAAAACCTTCAAATGCAGCTTTCAAAACATCCATTCCCACGTCTTGRAAGATCTGAAGTAGAAGAAAATAAATAAGTTTAAAGTTGAATAATGTTTGTCTTGTATTTTTACAACGCCAAACAAACTAAATATAGATTTAATAAGAGCAATACCTTCTCCTGGGATGCAAATGTTGGGCTTTCTTTATCAGTTGAGTCGAAGGTAAAGTCAAACGTGAAGATTTTCCCTCTGTCCCTTAGCTTGTCTCCACGTACAGATGAAGGCTGAAATTTATATATTGTTTAATTTAAGTGTTTTATTCCATATTTGTTTATTCTGTCGYATAGCCTACCTTATGAACAGACGTCGTGTTCCCCTTCATATGAACTATCGCCTTCGAAGACAGCTGTTTTTCCCTGTGAAAAGTAAAAMCCACAAAGTTCATTTTTAAAGTTTATCAAAAGAAAAACAAATCTGCTATTTTAACGGAGCAACCTTTTGCTCATAGGTCGGACTCGAACCGCTACTCGAACTGAAGACATCATTCAGTAAAAACACAAACCACTTAACCTGAATCAACGCCACGTTTCGGGCTTAATTATCAGCATCTAATTAGCACACCTGGGATTCTTGGCCTCAATTTCAAGGTGCAGTGCATAAATYAGACACTAGAGGGAGCCAGTGAGCTGTGTTTAATTTCTGTTTTCTTCCGGGTTTGCGTTCTGAAAGAATTAACATAAAGCGGTCAAAAACAGTAAGCATTGACTAATACGTAATGCAAATTAAACTAATAGAATGGGGAGTTATAAATATAAGAATAAACGCGTCGTTTGTTCACTTATTCTACAACCACAACATCTATTTTAAGTAAAAATGCTATTTTTCGACTGTTTTCCGTGTARCGTGAACGCAGCATTTCGTGGATTCCCCATGATGCAGCGCGGTGGTCTGATCAAGTCCAGGGCGCGCGTGCATTCAAAAATATGGCAGAACCTTTTTCTGCTTTAGTACAGTCGAACTCGRAGGAGGCTGAAAATGTGTCTGTGGCGCGGAGGCACCTGTCGTTTTCGTCGGAAAAGAATGCTAGCTTAGCGGAAGAGCCGAATGACACACGGTCGGTCCCGAGTTCACAAAGTGTTTGCCGACTCTCTGCGGAAAAAGCCGAACGACTCCCATCGGAAGACACCAACGAATGTATAGAGGAGCAAAATGCTGCTAAATGTAAGGATGTTTCTCTTCAACAGAACAAAGAGAACTATAATGAAGATAAGGAAAATGCTGCTATAAACGCTACGGATATCACTCAAGGTTGGTAAACAAACCCAAAGTAGTTGTTAAATCTCCTATAGTGTCCTTAATGACTTAATCACTGTAAATGTTCAAGTTTATTTAAAAACAAGTCTCACACAGGAGGATAAAATTTGACTAAAATATGAGCTCTTATTTATGTCATGTTTATCTTTTATTTGGGGGGGGGGGTACTGTGGCTTTATCCAATATCCAGTGTTGTATAAAGTACCTCAAAGTAATACTTGAGTAAAAGTACAAGTATCTTATCATAAAAATACTTTGGTAAAAGTTAGTCTTCTCTTAAAAACATTACTTGATTCTTTATATTCTTATCTAATATTTTTGTACTTAATTATCAAAAGGAAATTTCTGACACAAAATCTACTTAAGTATTAAAAGTAAAAGTACTGAGTAAAAGTGAGCAGTTAGATTTTCCAAAATGACATTTATTGGAGTTGACTTATTTTTTCTAACGTCGTGCAGCTGTGATGGGTTGTGTACAAACTAATAGTGTGTCAGAATATTTATACTTCTCATCCAACCACGATTAAATTCACTCTATCCAGGAGACACAATTTATCACGATAGTTTTTTTAAAAGTAATTACAACTCTGCATAAAACAGGAGTAATGACTCTCTACTTCTTACCTTTTAAAAATAATGCAACGAGCAGAAAGTACAGATAATTGTGTAAAAATGTAATGAGTAAAAGTAAAAAGTACCCTGAAAAATAATTACTCAAGTAAAGTACAGATAACCAAAATGTCTACTTAAGTACAGTAACAAAGTATTTGTACTTAGTTACTTTACGACTCTGCCAATATCAGGTGATACTGCAAGAATATGTGTTGTGAACAACTATCAGCTACTACCACACCAAATTTTAGCTCACCATCTTTAAAATAACCTGCGTTGTGGTCATTTTAGTCTTCAGGAATGTCAGTTAACTGTGGCACCCATTTGAAYTGAACAGACTCAGAGATACCTGTTGTAGATCTAATGATTACTTACCTAAAGTTTAATTAAAATCCAGCATTCAGCTGCTGAGCAGTTTGGGTCTGGTTAGAARCAAAGTAATTATCCTCCACAGCCAAATCCATACATTTGCATACCAGATGGGAAGGAAAAATCTCACTGGCTGAATTAGAACAGTGGGCTTTGTGAAATTCAATTTACCTGCTGAAACTGACCCATTGCTGTGATTCTGCACAGGTAACACACAAGAGGACGCTTCGGGTCACGGTTCCTGTCTGACAGCCAACAAACAGCACAGCAGCACGGAGGACAGAAACGTCGAGGTGGTGAGACGAGCGCGGGAAGAGGGCCGCGTGGACGTGGTCTTCCCCGGCGCCGTCACCCAGAACAGCTGCTACCACTTCGTCAGCGAGATCCTCAAGTGCGTTCTGTACCAGAGACAACAGCTGCCCATGACGTACGACCAGCTGGTGTACTCCCAGAAGAAGCAGCAAACTTTGGTCCAGGTGAGAGGGGTGGAAGTTAAGAATTTCAGCTGTTTTTTTTTTTAGATAAGTTAACAGATTTTTGCTTTCCAGGATAAAGACACGGTGAGTCGGAGGCCAAAGCAGCCTGCAGATATGGACCAACGGAAATGTCACCAGACTCTTCAGGAGCTGGAGGAAGTGCTGCAGCAGCTGGAGGTGCTGTTCTCCCTCAGCAGGGTCCCCCGTGTTCTGCTGCTAATGGGCGGCTCGGTGGTCCTCCCCAAGGAGCTGTACGAGGTCAACATGGAGGCGCTGGYGCTGGCCGCTGGCGACCGGTCTCTGCCGGTGTCCTCGTGCCTGAGGCAACTCTTCCGCACRCTTTTCGTCGCCGACATCTTGTCCGACGCCAGACCCGTTCGCTTGATGCCCACCACCGTGTTGGCGCTGGCACACAGGGACTGCGGCGTCAGCTGGTTCCGCCCCAAACTGCAGTTTAAAGTCCCGACTCGGGTGAAAAACCAAATTATCGCTCTGTCTACTGACCCCGGCACCTGTGAGGAGTCAGGAGCAGAGGGCTCAGACTGGCAGGATTATGTGTGGTTTCAGGCACCCATGGCTATTAAAGGCTTCAGCAAATGACCTGAAAGCTTTAGCTCTGTCCAATCGTGCATTTTAATACATTTTCAACCAAATTAGAATAAGTGTACATATTTTAATAAACAGTTTTTTTTTTCTTCAGAACATGTAAAGTCAGTGTTTAAAACATGCAGTGTTTGGTGTAATCTTACAACCTCAATTCTGAAAAAGCAGGGATATTAAAGGGGCAATATTATGTGTTTCTCAGGCATACATTTAAATACTATACCATAATAAAGTAGGGCTGCGCGGTATATGCGGTAGAAACGGTATGAAGTTGGCCTACGGTAGAAATTTACCTTCTACCGTCCTATCGTCATTACGTCATCGCATCTGTGTCAACATGGCTGCGAGTGCAGAGACAACTGAGCAGGAGGAGTTTGAAAGAAAACAAAGAAATTAAAGCGTTTTAAAACGCGTAAAGAGAATAAATCCTCAAAATTTCCCCCTCCCGCTGTAGAAAAGTTACATCGGGATCATTTCCTTCCTCCCTCCACGTCACAGAGCGAAGCTTTAATAACAGTTTTTTTCACACCCAAGTTGTCGGAGAAAAAACTTGTTTTTATGTACAGTATTGTTACCCATAGAGATGATGTGGACGTTCGTTCAGTCATAAAACCATCTTGCTAATGTAAAGTCGGCTTCTGCTCTGATGATGAAGATGAGCGCACAGCAGAGCAGCAGCTGATAAGTTCAGCAGGCAGAAGCTCATTGWATGGCAGGCTATTAAAGCAAAAATGCTGGGTTGATTAAGATTAGTTTTCTGCAAAAAAAAAAAAAAAGCTCTAAAAATTACATTATCTTTACTTTTTATGATAGTTTTCTACCGCGATATTACCGTTACCGTGAAGGGATTCAATTTATACCGTGATATGAATTTGAGGTCATACCACCCAGCCCTATAATAAAGTATCTATGTCACCTTTAGCTGTTATTAAAATGCTGTTTTTATGTTTAAATAGAAAATAAACTTATCTTCTCATCACTTCTTCTAAACGCCTTGAAATTGGCCTCTAAGAACCACCTTGTGCTTCTGTCTCGACCATTTCAGTGCAGGGGGGGCTCACTTGGCATCTGAAAATACATTTCCTCAAAGGTATTTTTAATCTGAAAAAAGCTTCACTGAGTGAGAACTAATGTTAAGAGCTCAGCAGACAGTTAAGTTTCACTTTCACCCGAGAGCCTGCAGGAGTCATGGGCGGGGTGCGTGGGGAGAGGGAGGGCGTGCGCTCCGCCATGAGGAAGTTCGGCTTAAAGACACGTCCCAGGGGCGTTTCTGGTCCCAAAAGGCGTTTCTGGTCCCCACCTGTCGTTTTGCTCCTCAGCATGGCTTCCTAAAAACACTGCAGGATTTCTCAAACATGCATAAATGAGTCAAATCAAGGCTTTGGGCATGTTTTTTATGAGAGTATAACATGATACAAAACTCAAAAACGTTGATTTAACATGATATTGCCCCTTTAAGTGAAATCTTTTACGCATTAATTTTTTTCAGAATTGGCGTTGTGCTTTTAAAGCTTCAGAAACACTAAACGTTTTATCCAGAGGTGCATTTTTTTTTTTATTTCAGACGTTTCCATGAACAAAAAGCACAACAGACTCAATGATAATGCAATATAAACTTTTAATGAGCAGAACAACAGTTTAATGACACATCTAAGGAAACAATGCAACAAGTGTCCATGTTTACAGCTTTAGAAACATTTTTAATAACGGGACAAATCAAGCAATAAAGGTGCATTGTGTTAAAAGGATTAAAAAAATAAGATTTGTATGTGCAGAATGTCAGTCGTAATAAAACAGTACAATTACTGCATCTGTCTGAGAGTACATTTAAGAGTTCACAGCTTTTCTACCTTTTGAACAAACTGGATGATGTCGTCAGCGAGAAGCTGAGGCTCCTCAAAGGCGGCGAAGTGGCCGCCTCGAGGCATGAAGCTATAGGAGTGGATGTTTCGGTACCTTAGTTGTGCCCACGATTTGGGGCAGTGCATTAGCTCGTGAGGGAACGCAGCCAGTCCGGTTGGGACAAATATTTCTGTCCTAAAACAAAACAACAAMAAAAAAAATACTTGTTAGAATCTACATAAAATTAAAGCCGGCAGTACAATAACTCGGCCTCTTACTTTGAATCGATTCGTTTGTTGGGGTCGCCCTTCAGGTTCTCTTTGTAGAAGCGCATGGAGGAGACGATGGAGCCCGTGGTCCAGTAGATCATGACATTTGTCAAGAGGTCATCCAGGCTGAATTTTCTGTACAAAAACACAATTTGCATTTAAAAAGACACAATAAACCACTTACTGAATCCATCTACATACAACTCTGAAGGGGGGGAAACAATCCTAAGAGTTAAAATATTTTGTCATGAAMTAAGAATTATTTTAGATCRTCATCACTTTATTTATATAGCACATTTAAAAACAACAGTGTTGACCAAAGTGCTTCACAGACACAATACAATAAAACTAATAAAAAGCTGAAAACAAAATAAAAGACACAAATAAAAGAAAAAAAGTCAATCCATCAATGCAATTTAGAATCTACCTCTCCAGTCCACCGTCCACCAGATCTCTGTTCTTCCTGTCCGTCCAGGTGGAGAACTTCTCCAGGATGTAGGCTGCCAAACCTACAGGTGAGCTATTCAGTCCACAGCCTTCAAAAACAGCAAATAAAATATTTTTAACAACTGCCTTGTTCTTTCCCATGGATTACATTTCAATTTTCTTAACACTGATGCTCAAGTATTTTTTTAAGTGATGTTCTGTTAAATAGTTAACATTATCCTAAGGAAGTATTTTACTGGGCTGCTAGTTAGTGAACAGTATTTGTTAAAAATGGTCTGCATCRGAGTTGAAAAACTACCTGAGGCAGTAGACCAAGTCTAAAAATTTTTTTTTAATAAATCTCACTGATTATAAATAATAGTTATAAAACTGGTTCAAATCTTAATTTCTAAGTGTTAGTTGTGAGAAGAAACGTGTCTTGATCAATCTGAAAAATAAAAGGTAAAAAAAACTAAAATATACAAAACTGGACTTTTATTTTGAAGCTGAAGACATTTTGCTTCCCATCAAAATATCTGCTGGAGTAGTATATTGTTCAGACCGGATTGGATTCCCATGTAATTAACCAGGAAGTACTTTTTTTTCCTGCAGTGCACAACCACAGATTAAACCAGAAACTCGAGCACAGCAGCTGTAGTTGGTACATAGTGATGCAAGGTTGGTGTAACGTGGGCAGAGATTGATAAAAACAATAACGCTGAAGGCCGAGAATGCAGTTTTGCAGGTTGCAAAAACAAAAACAGCTGCAACRCCATCATTCGTGACATCAATCATAGTGAGAAAAGAGCTAAAGTCTTCATCCAGCCTAGGCTAACAGCTAGCTAAAAGTGAGGTTTTTTTATGCCTTCGCCCCAGATGCATATTGTTCTTTGGTTGTCCGTCTGTGCGTTAGTGTGCACGAACTTCCGTCCATCACACCATCTTGTTTGCACTGTAGCTCCTGAACGGAGCTATTGATTTCAGTCAAATTAAAAATTGCTATTGGCCCAATGAAGATCTGAAAACATTATGGTGTCCAAGGTCAAAGCTGAAGGTCAGGTAAAGTCATCTTTGTTGCTTGAATCCCCTTATTTTTGATGGTACACAACAGTGAACTGATCACTGAAATTAATATTTAGACATCGTTGATAAAGTTACATACTTCTTAGAATATTTAATACAAAAATAGAGGTAAACAGGTAACTGCATTMCCAGTGCTTTAAATGCACCACCTTTGGTCAGCGTGTTTTCTTGTGAGCGTTCTCACCTGCAGTGTCTGGTTTAGTGGCCTGAATGTGGAGGTAGCCGGATTCCCTCAGGGTTTCCCAGACGTTCTTCTCAAAGTACGGGTACAGCCGGCGGACATCTTCCTTACTGAAGCCCACCAGGAAGGGCAGATAACGACCAATCATCGTAGACAACAACACTTTGAAGCCTCTTGGTGGCATACCAAAGTTGATGTGGAGACCTTTCACGCAGCTGGAAGAGAGGAGCTACAGTCGTAAGCACGCCGAGCTTATCAGCTGCATTTTTCAGGAATGTTAGCTGCCGTGGGTTTTGGTAATCTGCACACAATGCTTCAGTTCACAGCTGAAGAATGTTGCAAAGTGTGCTTTTAGACACATGTGAGCCATCACATCGAAATGAGGATTAAGTCGAAAAGTGGAATGTGGAGAAATAGGCAAATATGGTGTTTTGATTAAATCATTTTCAAAAAAATTGCATTTTGTCAAAACATAATGAATTATCAATATATCATTTGAGTGAACTGTATGAAATATAATCATAAAACAAAAATCTGAAGCATGTTTTTGGGCAGTACCAACAAAAAACTGATTTTGAGGAAAAATGCCTTAAAATTTTGAGATTTTCCCTGTGAGCTTGAAATGTTTTTGTTTCTTTCCAGCTGGAAAATCTCAATATTCAAATACTATCTGAAGTTTTTTTTCTATATATTGACATTAAAAAGTCCTCTTTAAAATGACATAAAATTAGAATTCAGACCGAATATTATTGTATTATCTAACCAGATAAATTAAGTCATGTCTCTGGATCCACGTATATCAGAATGATCCAGATATCAAAAGCCAAGAATTCTTTTTAATCAAGCTTATTCTTCTGCATGATTTTACCATTGGTTTTAATTACTTTAAACAGAGTTGTTTGTTTTTTTGTAGCACTTTGAGATTTTTGTTAACGAAAAGTGCGGTACAAATTAAATTAATCATCATCATTATTAC